CCGCGGACCCTCACCAGGGGCTCCCCAGATACAGCCGCCATGGAGAACCGACAGACCATCATCAACGACTACATCACGTCCCAACAGATGCACCACAACGCCGCAGCCACGGCCATGGCGCAGCGGGCCGACATGCTGCGTGGCTTGTCACCCCGGGAGCCCTCCCTCGCCCTCAACTATGCAGGTCCTCCCAGCATGGCACCCTCCGGGGGCTTGGGGGCATTTAGGGAGAAGGAGGCTGGGTGGTCAGGCTGGCATTGCCAGCTCCAGCACTGGAACCGAGGGCTAAGCCAGCAGCACAGTGTCACCCAGCAGTGTAGGAACTTGGCCGGGGGAACTCGATGCTCTTTTTGCTGCCTTCAGTTACTTGAGGCTCCTTATGTGCAGCTCTGGTTTTGGGCCATGGGAGCACTCCCCAGCCTGGCCTTGCTGGCCTCTGGAGATAAAGACACGCTCCCAGAAGAATATCTGGCTTTCTGCAAAAAACAGAGTGTGCTGAGGAGTGCACAGGGTCTGGTGCTCCTGCGCCTCTGCGGGCAGAGCAGTGTCGGTGTCCAGCTGATCCTGCCTGCAGCCTCCTCACTCAGAGGGGAATAGATCTCAATATTTTCCTCTCTCGTTATTTCCAGCAGCAGGACACGCTGTATTTTCCCGCAGAAGGGTCCCCTCCCCTGACAGCCAGCGCCCGGGGCCCCTGTACACTCACTGGCACCTCTTTGTGCTGCGCCAGACCCTCCCCAGCTTCGCTCCCTGTTCCAGCACGGCCAAGCTGCAACAACTCGGTATCGTCCTGACAGTCCTCTTGCTTCTGTCTCCAGGAATCATCGACCTGTCTCAAGTGCCACACCTGCCCGTCCTTGTGCCCCCCACCCCCGGCACCTCCGCCACCACCATGGACCGCATCACCTACATCCCTGGGCCCCCCCAGACCTTCAGCAGCCGGCACAGCAGCTCCCCGCTCTCCCCAGGTAATCCTGCAGGTCACTTCTCCCATGGGAGAGCAGGACTCCCTTAACAAATTCAGGGCCATGAGCTCAGCATGCCAGGGCAGATGAGGGGAGCTCAGATTCATTCTCGCTCAGGGACCAGCCCACTGGCTCCCTCCGACCAGGTTCTCTGATCCTGCTTGTTGGGGGCTTCCTTCCTTTTGCCCCTTCTTCCCCAGAGTGGAAGCTGGCAAGCAGGTTCATGGAAAGTCATACCCTGGAGACAGCACCAAGACAGCTGTTGTGTGATTTGCCTGGGTTTTGTCACACTGGTTGTCCCCAGTCTGTCCTGCTCCAGGTGACCTTGGATGGAGCCATTCCTTATCTGCTCTGAGACACAGCGATGCAAGGAGCAGGCAGTGTTCCCCAGGGGGAATCGCTGTGTCTGCAGCCCTCTCACTGCCTTTCGGTTGGGTTTCAGGAGGCCCCACGCACATCACCAAACAGTCGGGATCGTCTGTGTCTGAGCGGGAACGGGAGCGTGAGCGAGAGCGGGAGAGGGAGCGTGAAAAATCCATCCTAGCATCCACCACGGTGGAACACGCGCCCATCTGGAGACCAGGTAGGCTGGGAAAGAGCCTGGCACTACGTTTTGGGGTCCATGCTGGGTAGAAGTGAGATTGGGGCTATAAAACAAAAAGCTAAAGAAAAACCCTTCATTGTATTTTCCCTCAGGTACAGAGCAGTCCAGCAGCCGTTCGTCCTCACACTCTCACAGCCACCAGCACTCTCCCGTCTCACCCAGGACCCATGAGACCATCCAGCAGCGCCCCAGTGTGCTCCATAACACGAGCATGAAGATCATCTCCTCGGAGACCCCCACCCCTTCCGTCCTGCGGTACGTCCCTCCACCGTGGTTCCTGCCGCTTGCCTGAACGCCTGCACCGGGGCGGTTTGTTAATGAACATCACATGAGGCACCTCTGAGATGGAGCCAGGGTTGTTTAAGCCTTCACTCCCAGCAGGAGCACAACTGGGGCTAACAGGGAAGTTGTGACAGGGAGAGGCATATTCTGGTGCCCAATTCTTTCACTTTTACTGCTCCCAGGAAAGCAAGCAGGAGCATCCCCTCTTGCTGAAAGTTACTTTGTAGTGGAGTTATGAAGGTGTCTGGGACCTGTCCATGGGTTTTATTCTCTTCTGGCAATGCAGCCAGGTCATAGCCAATAACCTGTGGCCGTGGTGGAGGCTCCATTCGAGCCCTCCTCACCTGCCTCCAGCATGGGCCAACCCTGCACTCGGGAGCCCTGGGAGGACCTCGACCAAACAGGGCTGAATGCTGGGGCTTTGATAACAGCACTCCCTTTTCTCCACATGCTTCTCTGATTTTCGCCTTTGCCTTCCAGATCCTCCTCAACCACTACCACGTCACCAATCCGCTCCACCGCCTTCCCCTCGGCCTCCACCCTGCGCTCCTCCATCAGCACGGCAGATGGCTACGCGGCCCCGATGGACCCGGCCATCCTGCAGAAAGAGGCCTCGAGAGCACGGGAAGCCAAGGCAGAACGACCCCAGACTGACAACAATGTCTTCACCTCAAAAATGCCCAGCGGGGCCAACCTCGAACAGTCGCCTTCACCCATTAAAGCCGTGGAGCCGAGATCTTTACCCGCCTCTGGACCTGGTTCTTCTCATCACTATGGCAGAGGAGAGGGGAAGAGACAGCAGCACCATCACCCTCTGGACCAGCAGCACGCAGCCTTGGGCCCCGAGCAGCACAGCAGAGAAAAGAGTCAAAGTAAACCCTTTTCGATGCAGGAACAGGAGCTCCGAGCACTCGGTAAGACCACCACGACAGTGGCCCACTTCATAGATGTGATTGTCATGCACCAAATGTCTTGTGATAAGGGGCAGCGAGAAAGAGGCTCGCTAAGTAACGACTCCGCTAGTGAGGGTAAGAAGTTCGAGGGGAGAGGTGAGAGAGCTGTAGCCTGAAACAAATTTTATTTCATTATTTCTTATTTTTAGTTGCACGTTTTGGCTGTTGGCTTCATCAAGTCCCTGAGTGTGCTTGTCCGTCTGCTTCCCAGTTGTGTTGTTCCAGACATTTTCATTTGTGCATGATTTAAGGATCTTCCCTTCTCCCACCCTCTTTTAGTTTTTCCCATTGCCAAGTCCTGGTTTGCAAACGTTGCTCCATTCCTGGTATTGCTTTTTACAAACAATAGCCATTTGCTAATTCTGATTTCCCCATCGTTTGAAATTCCCAGGCAGTCTGTAAGGAATGGTTGTGGGTAATAAATCAAACGGATGAAGCGGAGAACCAGGAATGTGAGCAGGACGGAGCTACTTGCCGTCAGACTTGTACCTCCCTCCTCGTGGTTCCACCACTGAGTGTGCACGATCTCAGAGGGCTTTGTGGTGTGATGCAGCTGGGATGGGGTCGATTCACCTGGGTGGCCTCGCTCAGGGTCCTGGTGCTGGGTGCTGCACAAGAGCAGACTGCAGGAACCACCTCACAGCAGCCTTGTGTAGGACACGAAAGTGCTGGGATAAGTTTCTGCAGAAGAAAGTGCAGGGAAGAGGCTGGATTTGAGGTCTGGGTTATTCCTCATGGGACCATCACCCAGAGCGTTCATTCATCCAGGCTCCCAGCAGCATGCAGAAGCAACTGGCAGCCCGTGGGGTTTTGATGGGACCTCATCTCCAAGTTGAAGCATCTGCCTTGGCCATCAGCACTGGGGGTTGTTACCCTGTCGCAGGTTGCCTGCCAGATTCGCCTGCAGTGGGCGGTTTCTAGGAATCGAGCGTTAGGAGGGTAAAGGTCTGTGGAGGCAGAAGTCGTGAGCGTTGCCAAACGTGCTTAGCTGGCGAGAGGCAGCGTGTGCCTCCTCTAGGGCTTCTCCGTCCTGCACCCCGATCTGTGGAAGCATAACCTGTCCATGCCTCAATTCCCTCTCTGTTGAAGGATGGTGGTGGTGCTTCATTCCGGCACTGCCTGCTTTGATGCAACTTGCGGCCACACAAAGGGCAGGGAAAGGTCAAAAAGCCTTTTTTTCCACGCAGTGTGCACATCTGCTGTCTCTGGAGCAGGATCTGGAGTCTGCAGGGCATCGTGCCCAATTTTCAAGTCCCTGCTGTTGGCCACACTGGGCTTGGGGCTTTCCTTTGTAAAGCACTTGAGACCTCCCGTGCAGCCACCTCGACTCCTGCAGAGCATTGCTTTCCCTCCTGGCGTAGTGGCAGGTTTACTTTTCTGTTTCAGTAGGTGGGGGAAAGGATGGGGGCACAAGTTGTGCATTTGGCTGAATTTGGCTCCTGACTCTCATGCTGTCACCGCGAGGTGCTGAGTGTCCAGCTCTGCAGGAACGAGACGTCACCTCTTTACTGCAGCCATCACCACAACTGGGCATCAGAGGTGGCTCCGATGCAAATGTGACCTGCCAGGTCTTCCCTCATCTCTTTTTCCCCCCCCTTTGCTGAATGTGTGGCTCCACCTGCAAGCAACAGTTGCCGCAGCACTGGGGAAAAGCCAAGCATGCTCTTGGTTTTAACTCCTTTCTGCTGTTTCCCCAGGCTTTCATGGAGGCTACAGCCCTGAGCGGATGGAAGCAGTGAGTCCCGTGAGCTCGCCCAGCCTGTCCCACGAGAAAGGGGCCAAGCTGCTGCAGGATGCAGAGAAGGGACACGGGGAGCATGACCTGAGGCAGAAACAGCAAGGTGAGGGTGGGGGCTGGCAGCCCCAGCCGGCACAAGAGAGCCTGAGCTGGCACGGAGGGGCTTTGGCAGCCGGCTCTCACCTCTGCGCCGTGCTGGGATGGCATTAGAGGAAGGGGACACAGATGTCATATCACGCCTGCTCTCTTCTTTGTGCCCCCGCCCAGGCTCGCTGAAGGCCTCAGCTCCCGAAGCCGCTCACCTGCAGCACCTCCGGCAACCTGACGGCCCCCAGTGCCAGCCCCTCCAGTCCAGCCAGAGCATCAAGGGCATGAACCAGCGCGTGGTCACGCTGGCCCAGCACATCAGTGTAATTCACCTCGTTGTCGCCTTCCCGCTGGGGCTCTGGAGAGGAGGGAAAAGCTAATGTGCAACGCGTCTGC